GATCTTCCGAGTTTCTCGTTTTGAGCTACACAGCCCAATAACAGACCCTCCTTTCCCAGAGTGGACTTAACCACAGCATCTTGCTGCCAAGAGCACTCACAGGGGGTGGGCAGAAACCCATGGGATGGTGAAAACCCCTAACATGTCATTAAGAGGACACCACCATTAGTTGTTAAACGAGGTTTATGTGGGTATTTTTCCAGCATTTGCCCCTAAATCAGGGACAGGAAGATGTGTGGTGTAGGGGGTTCAGCCCCTTGCCTGCAAGCAGCTGGGGTGGGGGGCTCAGCAGCCAATCCCACAGGCCTGCAACCACAGGGAAGTTGATTTCAACACCAGGCACCCCAAATAAAACCCAATCTCAGAACAAAGACCTCACGTTTGGGGAATTCTCTCCCCAAAGAGCATGGAGCAATAAGGCCCAGCCATGGCCTCACTGCACTGCCTGAGGGGAGGGGGCGAGGAGCCTGCTGGCAGCCCCCGCTTCCACCTCCTGCCCTGGTGAATTGCAGGAGGCCAATTTTGATTAAACTAATTAAGCCTGCTCCGTTCAAAGAGCTCCAGCCACATGCTACCAGGGGAGAGGGAGAAAATACGAAATTAAAAGGAAGAAAGAACAATCTCACTGCAAGCATGCTGCTGCGATGCTACCCGTCCTCTGCAGGCCCTGACGGACAACATCTTGTTCGAGGAGGAAAGCTCAGAGAAAGCACTCACTGCTTCACAGATCCCACCCCACAGACCATTCCCCACAGATGCAGCCTGCTGCTGCCCTGCGAGTCACTGGGTTGTACTGGAGCCTTCCCATTAAGGAGACTGGTTCCATCCCCACAGCGACCCCAGAGTGCGCTTACTCCCCCTGCAGACACACAGCCTGACCCCCTCAAGCCAACATCTCCCAGACACCATTTCCCTCCCATACCATCATCCCTATCTTTCAACCCTTTCGGATCATCCCTATCTTTCAGCCCTTGCACATCCCCTTCCCTTCAAGGCAGTGGATTTCTGGAAGCAATTTACCCAGAGTTGCACAGAGATTTCCCCGCACACACAGGCCTTACTCTCAGCAGGGCAGAAGGGAAAGGGACAAAACATTCTGCTCTTCCTCCATAGGGACCCTCAGACCCCAGGGATGACCAGCCCCATGCAAGGCACGCTGCCTCTCATCCTGTGCCTCCGCTGTAGGGGTTTCGGGGGCAGGAAGAGAAAGAAACCCCATAACGTAATTGCTAGATTAAAGAGAAACGGCAGGCAAGGATAATAAGAGAGGTGTCAGAAGTGAAATACAGTAACAGACATTAAAAAAAAAAAAAAAAAAAAAAAAAAAAAGACTACAGTTCTGTGATGGGGGTGTTAATTGAACACAGAGCTGGAGAGAACAAAGGGGTGTTAAAGAAGAAAAAGAAGGGGAAAAAAAAATCCTGCCTCCTCCGAAGATCTGATTTGAGTTAAGTTTGGTGAAGATAATGCACGGGGAAAGGTAGCTGAGAGGCACCTTATATAGCTATTATGTTCTAAAATTAAAGAAACAAACCCATTATTCGACAACAATTGCACGGCTAATCAGTGCTGTCTATAAATATTCCACTTAGTAAATTCCATCCATTGGCTGTATGCACGCTTTTCTACTCAACTCTAATCCCTGCGCTGCAGAAGGGCTGCGAAAAGCCAAGCGGGGGCTCTGAGGGAGGAAGTCAGGGCCTTGACAGAAGTACCGTGCACCCTACGCCCTCACCTCCCCCAAAAGAGCAGAGAAAGTGCAACGATAGAAAAAGCTCTTAAGGAGGAGGAATGAGATTAAGCAGCCCTACATCCTGCGCTCGCCTCTGCCGGTCCCCAGCAGTGCGATGGGCGCTGGAGGCTCGCAGCCGAGAGACGCTGCTGCATTTTGACAGCAGATATTTTCCAGTTTGCCATCCAAGGACCCCACGTCTGCACGCCTTGCCTGCTTCTTCTGCTTAGCTATTCTGCTCATGCAGAGAACAGCTTAAAGAAAAGGGGAAAAAAAAAAAGAAAAAAAAAAACAACACAAGGGAGGGGGGAGAGAGGACAGAGAGTCAGAGCCCCTATCCCTCCCTGCCTTCAAACTTTCTATAAATCCACAACGCAATTTCCGATTTCAACCCTATCGACGGAGGAATCGATTGTATTCTGGACAACAATGCCTCCCCGTTTCCATAATTATTATTCCAAAAAGCCAGCCAGCCATTTGAAGGCAGTCCTGCCCCTCCAGCTCATAACAAAGCAGCCAACTGCAAGTGAACGCACACCAAATGAGCGCCGGCAACTCGCGCCGAGATCCAAGCGGCGATTCTTCCCCTGCGTGCTTCCACCCGGACCGATGCTTCCAACTTTTACTACTTCTAAACAAACATCACCCAAAGGAGAGAGCCTGCAGATAAAATGCAACCAATGGGTTCCAACTGCTGAGCTTTAGAAAAGAAATTAGAAAATGATTGTAAGTGCTTTAATATAATTGAAGGGGATGAGTGCGAAAAGGAACTCTCCGGCCAGTAAAGACAACCTCTTTTTCTGCAAACTTTATAGACACTTTGGGTTTGCTCAGGCAACGTTAGCGCTATGAAATATTATCCATAATGCTGTGAGAGACGGTGGTAAAGTCTCCGTAAGGCTCTGGAGTCACTTAAATCAGGCAGCGGGCAACTGAGCAAACGCTACCGCACATCACAGCGCCGGGGGAAGCTGCACGCAGGCACTGCCAAAAACCCCTCAGTGCCCACCGACAGCATCTCCAGCAGCAGCTCCAGCAACGCAGAAAGGGAACCCAAAGGGGAAGAGCGGAGGGAGAGGTCGGCTCAGCTTACACAGCACTGCTTGCCTGCACAGACCCCTGCGACCAAGGGGAGAACGCAGGGCCCTTGGCCCCTGGAAAAGCAGGCGAGCCTCCTGCCACTGCCGGGCCCACCAAGCAATAATGAAAGAAAAATACCATCTGGTCATTTGCTTGTTGACAAAGTGTGACTTTTGGGGATGCAGATGGGGGAAAGGGGAGGAGGTTTCTTTAATTTGCAAAGCAAAATTCACCATATCCAAGGGGAGATAAACTACGCTCCAAGAGCCACCTCCATTCATTCTCCTCAGAGCCTGCCGTACAGCAGCAGTGCATCCACGTAGCCCACGCTCAACAGCAGCAAACACAATTTTAGAAGTGTAAGACAGCCCCAACCCGCACCTGGACATCACTCATCCCCAACAGCACAGCTCTGCTCACCACCTCTCTGGGTTTCACTCTGCTTAAAGGGAAGGAACGCACACAGTCCCCGTGCCCATCCCCACCCCATAACTTTGAGTGCCCTGGCACCAGAGCCGGTCGCCCTGCCAAACAGTGCCACATGCAGCACCACACACACGTCAGCAAACATTTTCTTTGCTTAAAGCAAAATAAAAGGAGAGGAACCCAACGGCTCCTTTTTCGGAGGGTGGGCACACAGCAAAAATCCTAAAAAAAACAGTCATAAAATGTATTCACACACATTCTCCACCACTTTACACACACCATCAACTCTGCAGAGGTTCCCCTACAGAACCCATCGCGTGCTTTTGTGCAAACTACATAACGAAGGGCTGCTCGGTGAGGGCTTGGAGCTGAATGCCATCGTAGGTGCTTTGTCTGTGCTACAAGCTGCACAAACAACATTTAACAATAGGCCCCTTTAGTCATTTCATATATATTGCAAGAGTCAAGTAATTGTATTTTCAATCAGCTGCTCACGCTAGGAGGTTTCATATATATTTAAGAAAAAAAGAAAGTAAGACCCAGACTCAGGTTTCCAAAAGCTGTTCCCCTTTTATGTGTAACTATCAATGTATATCAACCGGGCGCGCAATCATATTTATTGTCACTTTCATTCATGTCATGCCCTTGCTTATATGGTTTAGATATGAATTATTGACTGTTACAGTCCTCGTTGTAAAAGGGGAGGGGGGTGGGAGCCGAATACTTTGCTGTGTGCTGAAAGCAGGCAGCTGAGAGCCCGCTGAGCACCTCCGGTTGGCCCTGAAAGGCATTAGCACAAGTCAGCCCTCCACACTGTGTTCCTGCTATTCCCTATTTCCACCCCCCACCCCTTCTCTCAACCAAAAAGAAAAGAAAAGAAATTAATAATTTTAAAAAAAAAAAAAAAAAAAAAAAGGGATTCTGGCAAATAAATAAATAAGTGGTGCATGTTGCTAAATGTCCTTCCCTGAGCATCTGTTGTTTAAGATCACCCTTGATTGATGACTGCTATTTTTTAATTGTTGCTTTTAAAATTTAAATGCCCCCCTGGGATGTGTTATAAGTGTGTTAGTACATGGTAGGAGGTCTGGAAAGTGGGAAACGGCAGAGCCAAGGCTCTCATGTCATTAGCTTCTTTAGAAGCCTGAGAACACCCCATGTCATAAAACAACAGTACCCTAAAGTAACTAACAATCTAATATATTGCTTTCACTGAAGGCAGCTGACAACTTGCTCTAACATGAGCTGGGATGGATGACTGGCAGACACGAGCATTTTAACCTTTTCTTAAAAATTATTAAAACAAAAGTAAGAAACCTTTAGGTCTACCTTAGCATGAATAGCAGTAAAACTGCACTGTTTTACCCCCGCACACAACACTCTGCAGTCAATTATTTTTTTAAATCAGTGCCATGCTTTAAGGAAAAAAAAAAAAACAACAAACACAACAAAACAGCAAAGCAAGAGAGAAACTGCACCGTTTTCCATTTTTCCCTTCCTCTCCCCCCAAAAAACAATGAATAAGAAGAGGCTCCACAATAGGAACTAAACCACACTATTCTCCCCGGCAGACACAAACCACATCACTCGAGTCCAGCGCCAGAAGCACTGCATACCAGGGAGTTGTTTCTCCCCACTTAAACACTCCCACACACGGATCAGGGCGGGGGGGGGGGGGGGGGGGGGTCACAAACTTTGTGGAATAACACCTTCAAAGAGCAGAAAGAAAAACAACGTGGAACCAACGGCGTGCCTTCCCTACCTGTTTTTTCTTTGATTTCACACAAGACATTAAAAAGAGCCGGCTTCATCCTGTGGCAGTTTAAAGCGTGTTTCCTGCAGAGAAAAGGAAAAAAAGGGGTGAGGTTAGGATGTCATACAGCCACAACTTTCCCAGATTCACAGCAGCTCCTTGGTGAACCCCAGAGGGTGGGGGGGATGTTTGGGGCAGGGCCCTGCTAGGACCTCAGGGACGCGGCACCGGAGTGGCCAGCAGCCATCTCCCCAGTGGAAAGGGGAGAAATGAGGCCAATTTTGAATGGCTTTGAATACAGCATTTGCTACCGAGCGGCTCTCGAGGCAAGCTGCTCCCCAAGCCAGGAGGCTCAGAAGCCAGGCTTGGTTTAACTTTCATTCACACACACACGCAGCGCAGCAGCGGGCTCACTCCATCTCCCACCTCCAAAATAAAGCCAGCCATGTGTTTCATCCTCATCCTGCAAAGCAGAAAGGAAAAAAGTCGCCCCTGCTTTCCCCCCAGCGCTGAAACATCCTCTGCTGAGAGCTGTCAACCCGGGCAATTTCAGCGCCCAACTCGGAGCACCGACACGCACAGCCACAGGCACACGCACAGATGGAGAAATAAATCCGGCTCCCCGCACCCGTGCTGCACTCCTTGCATGCACTCAGCTTCTTTGCAGGTGCTAGGGTTGAATTCCTTGCAATTGGGGCAGGAAATATTTACAAAACCAGCCTGACGCTGCTGGGAAGCCGTGGCACTGCGCTCAATGCTCTCTCCTCGAAGTCGGTGTTGCGGGGCTGGCTGCTCTCTGCCTGCGGGTTTGGGGGAATGGAGAGCTTTTCGGGGTGGTTTTATGGACAGGTTTCACAGCCTGCTGGGTGCCTGCAAAGCAGCAACGTGGGATGGCTGTGGGTTCCTCCTGCAGCCGTATGACGGCTCGGCCGAGGGCTGTGTTGTACGAAGGGCTGCTCCTAGCAGGCGCCGGTTACGGGATTTCTGTTTACCAACCGAAACAACACGCGAAGCCGATGTGAACATCTGGCAAACATTCACACCACTTCCCCCACCACCCACAACATGTTGGGAGAGATTTATGCGGCCGACGAAGCCTCCCAAAGGTGGATAACCTCGCGGGAGCCACGGTGTGCCCGTATCAGATGGAAGCAGGCATTGGGGTGCACAAATCACGTAAGGGCACCAGAGGGGCCCTCCCGCAAATCACACTGGGGCAGAGGTCGAGTACCAAACTTAAGGAAAATAACAAGAAGAGGAAAAAAAAGCAGCAAAACACCCCTATGATAGCTGGATGGGTGCAGGAAATGCAAAGCCAAAGATCTCTGCTAAATAATGCGTGTTTGGCACCTCTGGAAAAAAAAAGAAAAAAAAAAAAAGTCCTATGAGGATGGTGCAGGAACATCCCAGCAAGGCAAAACCTTGCCACCTTATAGGGCTGCTCTGCTCCAGGTAGTTGAGTTGGATTGGTTTGATGAAGCACCCTAAATGCTCTAATTCCCACAACTTTCAGGAGGAGAGAGCTCTCTCTGTCCTCTGTCCTGCTCCCAGGAACGCTGCTGAGGGCACTGCAGGGCTGTGCTCCCCATGCAAGCCATCCCAAAGCATGTCTGTGGTTCAGTGCCTTCTCCAGCAGCAGGGATGGAGCAGCACTGCACCCCACGGCCCCATGCTGGGTGAACTCTGAGCACACCCCAACACCACGAACCAACTCTTTCGTTACCATTATTTACCCCTCAAACCTTGCTTTTAGTTGGACGGGATTTTCTTCTCTCCCCAACTTTTGCTCACACCTCTGAAGCCGCACTCGGAAGGGTAGATCAGTCCACATACCCTACAGTCCTTCCTTTCCCTCTTTTTTAGAATACCTTGGGATTTACTGGGGGGGGGTGGAATAAGAATATGGGAAGAAAATCAAAGGCAGAAAGGCAGGCGGTGCCAGCAGAGAAGCACGGCCTCGCCAAGCCGGCGCTGGGCCCCGCCGGGCAGCGGCACCGCGCTGCGGGAGCGAGCGGGCTGCAGGGAACTGCCCCAAAGTTACAAGAAAAGGAGGAAAAAAAACGCTTCCATCGGGGTGGGGGTTAGGAAATAAGGACGGGAAGCAGCCCCCGAGCAGAGGGGACCAGAGAAGCCGCCCTCCTGCCGCACAACAAAGCCGCACAAAGGGCTGCGAGCCGGGCTGCTTCCCCCCCCGGCACCCCCCCGGTAAACTTCCCCGCGCCCGCCCCTCGCTCACCTGGCCTGCGCCTCGTCCAAACTCTGGTCCGTGATGGTCATGATCTGCTGTAAGATGTCTCCGATGTCTTGCTTCCTGCCTGCCTCCCCCTCCGCCCCGCCTGGTCCATCCTGCATGTGCTGGGACAGGCCCGGGTGGCCCGGCATCCCCACCCCGCTGTGCGTGTGCATCAGCCGCGGCTGCTCGTCCATCTCCGGCCGCCGGCTCCCGCTCCGCCGCCTCCCTGCTGGCTGCCGGCCGCGGCGGCTGGGCTCCCCGCCTGGCTCCGCGCTTTCTTTTCTTGCTCGCTTTCTTCTTCTTCTTTCCTTCCCCCCCTCCTCCTCCCCGCAGCCTCTTCCTCCTCTTCGCTTTTTTTTTTTTTTTTTTTTTTTTTTTTTTTAATTATTTATCCTTCACGCTGGCTTCCAGCTCGGCGGTGGAGAGGAAAAGGAGGAGGGAAAAAAAATGCATACACACACACACACAGACAGAGGGGGGAAAAAAAAAAAAAAAAAAGCAAAAAAAAAAAAAAAAAAAAAAGAGAGAGAGAGAGAGAGAGAAAAGAAAGGGGAAAAAAAATCCCTTTGGTTGCTAGAGGAGGAGGGATGGAAAGAGGGAGGGAGGGAGGGAAGGAGGGAGGAGGGAGGGGGGGTTCCGGGGAAGGGAGGGGAAACGGCGGCGACTCCGAAAGCAGGGCAGCGCGGCGCGGCCCGGGAGGCGGCGGCGGGGGGCGGGCAGGGCCGGCGGGCAGCGGGCGCCGCGGGGCGGAGCGCGGAGCGGAGCGGGGCGGCCCCCGCGATGGCAGCGCCGCGCCGCGGGGCCGGAGCTCGGCGGGAGCGCGGCGGGGGTGGGCTCCAAACTTTCCCCCACCCTCCGCGCCCGGCTCCGCGCCCGGCAGCGGGGCCTCCCCCCTCCGGCCGAGCCCGCACGCGGCGAGCCCCCCCACCCCCCCTTCCCCGGCCCTCGCCTCCTGCTTTTGTTCGGCTCCGGACTCCTCAAACTGGCACGGAGGAGCCCGAGGAGGAGGGACGGAGGCGGGGGGGGGGGGGAGGAGGAGGGAGGAAGGGGCAGCGGCGGCTCTCCGCCCCCCCGGCCCCATTGGCGGCGGCGGCGGGAAGGCCGGCCCCCGCGAGCCGCACCGCCCTCCCGGCGGCCGCCCGTCAATCTCCGGGTTCAGAGGTGGGCCGGGGGCCGCGCCCCGCCCGCGCCTTAAAGCGGCCTCGGCCTGGGGCGGATGGTGAAGAGCGGCGCCGCGCTGCGGTGCTTCGCGGTGTGCTTCTCCTTGCCTCCGCCGTCACCCCCGGCTCTCCTCCGGTCTCCCCTCATCCCCCCGCTCCGTGCCTTAAGCAGCTCCTTCCTTCTCACCTCAGCTACCCGCACCTCCTGGCTGTGCTTTCTCTCCTTCTCCGACCCACGAGGTGCCGCCGGCGGGGCCTTGCCGAGCAGCGAATCCGCGCCCTTGTGCCTCCTATGCATAGGATTGTTAAGGCTGGAAAAGACCTCTGAGATCATCGGGCCCGTTGCACTGCCGCACATCAGGTGTGTGGCCAGGGAGCCGTGGAGGCGGCCTCCGCAGAGGTTTGGTGGTTTCACCTCAGCACTGTGGGGAGATGAAGGGGCTGTGGTCAGTTAACGGCCCACAGTTCATCCCAAAGATGCTGCTAGGTGGCTGCCAGCGCTCTGCTGCATGAACAGTCCCTTTGCTTTGTCTCCCATCTCCCACGGTGCTGGGATTCGCAGGGCTGGGGAGAAGAAGCCCTGATTTGATCCTTCGAAGGAAGGATGGGGAGAGCCAAGAGTGACAAAGAGAGTGACAAAAGCAGCTGCAGACAGAGAGGAGGGGGCTCACAGGGACCCATTGCCCCAGGGGATGGTGGTGTGGGACCTTTCCCCGAAAAGCCCCATCACAAGCAAACCTGGTGCATGGCATTTATTTTGAATGCACTCAGGACACGTGCTTGCCTCGATGGTCCCACAAGGGATTCTGGACAAAACACACATCTTCCACGCAGGGGAAACTGGTAGTGATCCCAAAGCCATGGAGAGCTCAATTCAGATCTACGTGTCATGGCACACAGGAGTGAAAGGACTTCTTGAATGCCCATCCGCATTCTCATCGATCTCAGACTGTCCAGTGGCCAAACAGACCTCTGTCAGCATCAGATGATGAACAAGGGCAGCCGTAAAACAAGGCTAGCCTGCTAACCTGTCTTTAAAAAATAGAAGGTAGTTATGGTGTTCACAAAAACTTCCTGCTGGGCAGATGGTTTCATCAGATCTGAGGGCTGCCAAGCTGTCCCTCTCAGCATAAGGGAAGGCCAGGCCCCAGTCCCCGACCTCAGCTCAGGTCAGGGATGAAGCCATCCAGTTTATGGGAAAGATTAAAAAATAAATAAGGCAATTGTTTTCCTTCTGTCCTTCCTTTTTAATGAAACGCTTTCCAATATTTTAAGCAAAACACGGCTTTCCATTTGGAGATTTCCTTTCCAACCATTAAAATGTTTTAAAGTGGTTGAAGGCGAAGCGAGATGTTTTGATTTTTGTCGCTGCGAAACGTTTCACTCAACACATTCTTTTTGTTTCTTGGCTTGCCAAAATTTTTCATCAGCTTTTCACCCAAGACATATCTGTGTTGTTTTTTTTTTTGTTTTTTTTTTTTGCTTTTTTTGAAAAGGCCAAAAACGAGGAGAAAATATTCAGTATCTCCATGGCTGCACAGGAAATGGAACTTAATCCAAGGAACAAGGAGCCAAGGGACTTCTCTCCGAAGGTCCAACCTTTCAGACACTTAGTCATCTCCTTTACTCGCACAACAAGTCTAGACGTCTCAAAATTTGGCAGGCACTCTCCCATCCCCAGAGGTCAGTACAGCATCTGTTGGGTTTGATCTTGAACAGCTCCAAGGAGAGGAAGCACGGTGGATCAGAATGTGGTGACAGGCCAGTCCAGGGAGGACAGACAGTGGCACCCCAGTGATGTTGGGGCACATGGGATGTGGTGGCCTGCTGAGCCTTCCCCCATTTCCCAAGTCACAGCTTGATGCCTCAGCACATCAGGTAGGCATGTGTGGAGATGAGCTGAGTTGCCTTTGGGGCAGAGAGCCCAAGGTGGTCCCATGAGCCCATGGCAACCCTGTGGTGTGTCACAGGGAGAGGAACCTCACGCTCCAAGCTGCTCCAAAGCAGCTGCTCCAAGGCGGGCAGGCATCCAGCACGGAGCCTTGGAGGAGCAGTCAGGCATGGCCAGGACTCTCTGCCATCTACCGGAGTCTGTAAAATCCTTCCTGTCAGAGATAACTAATCCTGGGGCCTTTACAACACCTCTCCTGAAAAGCACATTTCATTCTTCTGTCTCCTTCCACTTCCAAGTGCATGAGATTGCAATAGGCATTACCGAAAATATTCCCCTTGGGAGCCGACACCGGACTCCCTTAAAGCCCAAACACCATCACCCCTCCTTCCCCAACACACACGCAGGCGCTATTCTCTATTATCTCTACACCCACTAAATCTTTCTGAAATAAAGAATAAACATTTCCACCACACATAGTATAAGTGTATACGCCGAGCTGCATCGCTTCCTTTCCTCTGCGGTTATTGTAAAGTGGTTTTGTTTCGATGGTGAAGCAGATGGACAGGCTCCAAGTCTGCCGGCCCTGCTCCCTGTCAGTAGGTCTATCTCTGCCTTTGGTTTATCACAGATTCCTGAAGAAAATGTTTATGGGAGCCTCTTGTTTAAAATCTTGGCTCCGTCATGACATAATTCCTATTATTTATTAAATGAAAAACAAGCTGTTGTTAATGCATCATTCCACGGCAAAGCGAAGCCCTGGAAAACCGAGGCCAAATGCGAGCAAAGCGTCTCCCCGTCAGCATCCCCAGCACCCGCATCACGAGGGGATGAAAACTGATCTCCTGCCCTGTGGCTCCCTAAATATTGCCATTTCGGTGAGGAGAGCCTCAGTTCCGTGGACTCGTTTGCTCTGGGGTTTGAAGATTGAGACCCTTCCATGCTGGTACCTTTTGTGTTCTTCATGACCAAATCCATTTTCTTCTCTTTCCTGCAATTTTCCTTAGTTTCTTCCATGCATAAGGCCAGCATCCCACTGCCCACCACAGCCCTGGCAGTGCAGTGAGCTCTGGGTGGATGGTCTCTCTTGAATTAAACATGGCAGAGTTTAAATTCCTAGCAGGTTCTCAGAAAAGATTCTTAAATTTACTTGGAAATGTTGTGTTGCTTTTTTGGAACTGATTGTTTATTTGTCAGTTTAGTCATTATCCTTCTCCCTTACTCATCTGGCTTTTGATAAGACAGAAAATGTCAAAGGGAAAGGAAATAGGCTCAGAATAATTTCCCCTGGCGAAGGATCCCAGTCCCCAGAAGCTAAGGGAGTTTTCTCATCCATTTTAGCAGAGATGTGACTTCACTCACCATGCCAGGCTAAATCAGCGTTCAAGCTTTTGCCTGGTTCACACATTAGACCTTAGCAAAGTGCTTGGGTTTTTGGAGTCATCTTGATCTGCAGATCGCAAAGCCTTTTCCAAAGGAGCTCAATATGTCTCTTCCCAGTTAAAGGATGGGATTTGCTGGTGTTCAACTGGGACTGGGAGAGCCAGAAATGGATTCCCAGCCACCTGACTCCAGGCATCACACTCTGCATCACACCAACTTTAACATCCCAATGGTGTATTCTATTAAAATATGTCTACTTTTCATTGTCCATTACCATCTCCTATTCACAATGTTATTACAAACAACCTTCACACACTACAGCCACAGGGGAGAGGATCAACTTCTGTTCTCATAAAAATGTGCCTAAACTTGCTGTTTGTTGCTTATTCAAATGCAAGTAACAAAACTCTTATCATCAGAAGTTTACCAAAAAGGAAAACTGCTTTTCCCAATAGCTGACATAAACATGTAAGTGCTACCAAACATATTTACATGTTTGAAATAGATGGTATAATTACAATGAGTTATAGCCAATATTCAGTCTTTCCCCGCTTTAAATGCTACCTTCTGATACAGCACAACACATTCTTTAATTGTGATCACGTGCTTTTTCTTAGAGGCTGCTGCAATTTTTTTCCCCACAAAAATGTCTGTAATTGAAAAGCAAATGGCATTGTTTGAAATAAATTCTCTGCCCTCCCAGATGTAAGCAGGTGACTTACCCTGTGGAATGTCCTATTTCTGAGGCTTTGACATTGCAGCGAGCCATTTGTGAAGTCATTTTGGATGCCATTCCACATCTCAAACCCAAGTTTCAGCGAGGAAATGCAGCTTCTTAAGACTGAAAAATTTCAACGCGGATTTTGAAAACAAGTCAGGTAAAAACTATCAGAGGAAATATCAGCAAAAGCAATCAGATTCCTCCAGTAAAAGCAGGCCTATTCTGGACTCAACAACAACAGCCTTTTTCCCTCTTTCAGCCAATACTGATGTTCCTCCAAGGATAGGAAACAGCCCTTAAATTCACTCTTATCGAGTGTGCCTCACATTCTGCACAGTACTTTTTAAAAGAGAAAGCCACATTAGAGGGACAGA